CATTGGTTATAATGGACCCGAATTTTTTCGGGATTTTTTTTCGGGATTCGGGAAAATGCATAGGAAGCCATTTCGGGATTGCAAAAGCCGAAAAAGCCGAAAAACGTTATTTTCGGCTTTTTTTTCGGTTCGGGATCCCGAAATGCACATCCCTAGTTACTACTGTACCTTGATAAAACTAGGCTCTCAGAAAGGTTTAGATCTTCTGTTCATCTAGTTTTATCTTTCAAAGAAACCACTGAATGGAAAATGAGGCAAAATTCTTTGTCTACATATTGTCATAAATGATAACGTAAGGCGATGAAAATCCCACCGAAGTCTGAGAATTTAATGTAGTCACCTTTTTTTGATCAGGTTATAATCTTCCAAGTTGTGTTATATATTGATTCTCTGACCCCCTCTTCAATAACTCTTCCTGGTGTAGATTTATTCTAATAGGCTATGTTGTTCTTGTTTTTTAAGGTGAATTCTGTGTGCTGGGCGTCACTAAGTCATCCGGATTCCCATGTTTTATATCCTTTTTATTAAAATAGGAAAGAAACCCCTCAGGATAAGGAGCCTGTGCCTCACAGAACCGTTGTTACACAGGGATACACAGGGATTCATTTTCACAAAATTACATTTTTCCTCTTTGGAAAATAGTTATAATTATCCTCTGTGCTCAGGCGTGCAGGGGGTGGGGAATCTGACATTATGATACAGATAATGTGATACAAAGTGAATGGAAGTCATGTTTGCAAAAAATCATGGGGTGATTTGAAAACAAGGAGAGACTGAGGAAGGCTGCCTCCTGAAGAGGGGCTCTCAAACTGCAGTAGCTCGATGTAAAAAACAACAGTAGTTCCTCAGGCCCAGATCATTTTTTTGTCTCAAGGTTTCATGTAACAACACTGTTGTCATAAAATTCACTCCTGTACTGAAAGCAAGTAAAAAATGGAAAAAAATTCCATTTCTGAAGAGTCCAGGAATATGCTTTCCACTCTGCTCACCTTTAGGAATACCTATATTGCTTCCTCCCTTGGCATTGTATGCTGTAAATGTGCCTTGATGTTTTCTCCCCAGTTGTCCTTCGTATTAAAATGATAGGGATCAGAGATTTCAGTGGAAAAATAGAAGTTATCCCTTCATAGGAGCCCTGCAGGGCTTGCCCAATTGTGTATGTGTTAACAACAGTTTGTTACAGCTGTTTGTTACAGACCAGCAAAAAGGTGGTCCTAAGATGGAGGTATGTCTCATCTCTGAGGCTGCTGTTAAGCTGTTTGTTTATGTATTTAGGAATTTATATTCCCTTTCTTCAGAATAGTCCAAAACATCTTACAATATAGCAGAATTAAACTTACAATAACAGAGAGAAAATCTGCACCAAAACAGGCAGTCAAGACAACCTAATGAAAACAGCACTTTACCTGATCGGCACTTTTCATTCAATGCCCTTTGAAAAGGAACAGGATGACAAGAGGGAGGAGCAAGCCAGAGGTATTCCAGGAGGCTATTCCATATTGCCTGTGCCATGACAGTGACCGAATGAGCCTTCACTGAGGCCGAACCACACTTAGCAAACTGATGGATTCGCTAAGAGGGATTTCTCACCTAATCTGAGTTGACAGGTGTCTTTTCTCTTTTAAGATCCTTAACAGCCTTTATCACGCTGTGCCTCATGGGCGTTGCAGAAACTTTGGGCTGTGCTAGTCTACTCCCTGCTTACTTGTTCACCAGCTCTAACTCAGGTAGTGCATACCAGTTGGGTGAGTGGTTGTGCAAACAGAGATCCTGTATGTGGGTATCCATTTTTCAGTTCCTCCAGTGGCTTTCTCTTAAGTATCATGGGAAGAAATATTAATGCTGCCTTACATTTACTAAGAATTTGAAGATAACACAGAGCTGAAATTGGATGGCACTTTTCATTTGTGGATGTTGTCAAGTCACAAAGCAGGAGCTTCTTTCCTAGCAAAGGAATTTGAGGGGTTTTTTGAGGATATGTAAAAATACAGTATCTGTCTGATTTGCATTTTCCAGATTATTTGCAGACTGATGTGTGATGAGAATACATACTACACAGCTGCCATATAGTACTCTTAAGACGCAGGAGCTCAAATTTGTGACCTCATATTGGGGGTGTTCTCCATAACAACTCATTTGATTGGTGCATCAGAAATGAGAAGTCACAAACAATCTTGCATTATTTTTTTAAAAAAATACAAATTGTAGTGTTTTTTTCCTAGAATTTTTCTGTGATTCCCTGCTTCAGACATGAATTTAAAACACACACGCACCATTCTCCAAGCTTTTTAAAATATAGTGTCTCTTTTGGCCTTAAGACTGAGCTGTGAAATGCAATAGCGCTCGTAACTTGTCCCAGTTTCATTGACTGAGTCCTGTTTTATTTGAATGCTCTGGTGTGGAAAGAGGCAAAGGTGTTGTTTCAATAATATGCAGTGCTTCTAAGGAGTTATTCCCACCCATGGGCTGCATTACTTAAAGCAGGCACATAGAAACCAAAAATCTCTTTGCCTGTTTTGAAGCAATGCATTAACTATGAGGCTGTATGAAGAATGGTCAGTTTCTGCAATGGTCATTCTTTACAGATAACACTCATGTGACTGAAAAAAACCAGAAGTTTATTTATTTATTCCAAGTCTTAAAACCTTATATCCCAGCCAATGGTCACTTAGTGTTGTCTTTTAAGAACTTAATTTAAAATCTCTGTAGTCTTTTAACAAACAATAATCACAATTACTCAAAAACACTAGATTATGTAAATGAGATTTTAAATAAAAACCATATATGACATCCTTTTTTCTACCTAGTGTTCCTTTAAAAATGAAATGCAATTTCTGAGATTCTTACCAACCCATTTCAGAAAAGATAAGGAGTCTCACCACAATTGAGATTTGAGAGATATGGCGGGATTAGGTTGTAGCTACCTTATATAGACATAATTATGTGAGCCTAGTATAACTTTATTAAGCTATCTAATTTGATTTCTCTAAAGGCATGATGCTAGGCATTTCTGAGAATTTCAAAAGATAATTGTCACAAACTTTTTTCCACTTGTTCTAGGATTTATTCTGGGCACAAAGCCATTGATTCATGTTATTTTTTCAAGGCTGAAAACTATAAGTTGGCTACAATACTGAAAAAATGCATGTTGGCAGATTTACACAAAAATCTAAAGCAAAATCTCAGGCCTCCTATGGTACAACAGTTAAAGTTAAAATCTACAACACCCCCTCCATGACTAGAATAATCTTTCAGGCCATGAAGCAGGAGAAAATGTATGTGTGTGTGTGGTGGGGGAGAGAGTCCAAAGCAAAACAAATCACTGAGGCAAAATCCAATAAAATTGGTAGTTGTGGAAAATTGCAGCAACAGTAATATCTCTTTGAGGTCATCACTCACATCTAAGTTAAAAATGCTCCAGTCTGGTCACTTCCATGTAGTTTCAAAGAAGGTAGATCCCTGATTGCATGGAGAAAAAAAACATAGCTGGTCTCACTTATTTTCTGTCAGGATAGTTTTCTCTGAACTAGATCTATAATTTGAAGGTTGCAAGACTCACAGCCATTAATGAGAGTCAGGAATCATACCTGCCTTTCACAGTTCTCATTTAGGATCAGTGAATCAGGCATCTGTGTTTCAGTTAATAACATCAAAAGACATATTTCAGTCAGGGAATTAGATAAGCTTGCTCTAGATGAGAATTCCATCCTTATATTAATATAATTCTCTTGCAAACAGTCAAGCATCTGGAAGAGAAAGCTGCTGCATACAAGGCCACAACAAAATCTACTGATGGTTGTGCTCAAAAGTATTTGAAGAAAATTGCACATTTCTTAAAATCAGAAAGAATTATAAGACTCTTGGTCATTGAAATAGGCCTAAAATAAGTAACAAACAACCTATTGATTAAAAAAGCAGTAGTTTCAATAGTACTTCCAATCAGTGAAGCACCTGCTTTTAAAACTGTTCCAAAGATAGAACTAAATGATTTAAAAATCAAAATAAAATAACAAATTCACTAGGCAGGAAGAAGCATAGTATTCATAGGGATTTAATCACTTGAGGTATATTTCTCAATATTGTTACGATAGCATTGGATATTGAAATACTGTAGCTTTAACAAATCTAGTGTCAATACACAAACAGCTTCTAAAGAAGGATATAACAGTTTCACAGCACTCAATTTTTATAACTGTTAGAAACAATACTGAGCAAAGTTTGAGTCTAATGGAACCTTTAAGACCAAAAAAGTTTTATTCTGGGTATAAGCTTTTGTGTGCATGCAGATACACTGAAATGGAAGTCACCAACCATTACATATAGGTAGAGGGTGTTTCCAGGAAGGGCTAATTAGAGTCAACATGCATAAGTAACTGAACAATAAATATAGCGAAGATTGAATTAAGGCAGTTGTTAGGACTTGTGAATAGCAGCAAATTAGCATACAGCTTAATAAGAGTTTACAAAAAGATCAAAGTAGCTGATCCCCCCGGGAGGGCGAGGTTCAAATCTGATAATAAATAAATAAAATCTCTGCCACCGGCTCAGCTGGGGCTGTCTTGGGCAGTTCTGGAGAAGAGGAGAGGAGGCATGTCCTCATTCTCAGCCGGAGAAAATTCTGGGAGAACTGCCAGCAAAACATCATTCTCAGCAGCATGCAGAGGCTGTAAAGGAATTTGTTTGGGGATCCTGTTCACAGGCAGGGCTGGTTCCTGGGTTGCAGAAACGTACCCAGCTGTTAACTGGCTTGGTATTATTAATCAAAATAAATCTGATAGTAGATATCACATCCAGATGTTGAGTTGAATGAGTTGAGTTGCAGGCTGCAGCTAAATGGGATTACTCTAGAGTAAGTGAACTACAGTCTTGCTTTTCTCTATGTGTTCATTTGGTTTTATGTCGTACTCAGTAATGGGGCAAAAGTTTGTGTGTGTTAGTAGTTCAATGTGTTAGAAGTAGTTTCAGTTTCTATTTGCATTTGAAAATCTTGAAGTGTGATTTTTGAATGAGGAACGAGAGACACCCTACACATTTCTGGGAACAAGCCAGGTAGGAAGCATAATCTTCTACCTTGTATATTTCCTCTCCTCTCTTAGGAGACCAACCTGGAATGCTGTGCAGTTTCAAGATCTCCACTGCCTGGTCCTGTGCTTGGTGTTTGAATCCTCAGGCTGATAACTGCTTTAGCACAGGTAATACCTTTCCGCTCTGCATCCTGCATCCATTATGGAACTTTATTACCCAATTCACACTTACGTTTTGTTCTCCTTAGGTTTAACCCACCGAGTGCTGGTGACTAATGCAATGACAGGTCATCGGCAGACATTTGGCACTAGCAGTGATGTACTTGCACAGCAGTTTGCTGTCCAGGTAAAAATTGTACTTTAAGCAGCACTTGATGAATCATCATTTATATTTATTTAGTTTGCTGTCCAGGTAAAAATTGTACTTTAAGCAGCACTTGATGAATCATCATGGCCAGTGCTGGTAACACACAGTAGAAAGGGAATTAGAGAAGCTACAAGCAAATTTGAGGGTTGCTTTAAATTCTGTTCAGTATCATGGCACGTTACTCCAGACACCATTTATATCAGTGAGCTCACAGTAACATAATCCCATCAGGTTTTTCTGAGCATTTCAGCCATGTTTTTTTTTCTCCCCCTTCCTCCCTCAAGTGAGCTTGGGGGTGTGGTATATGTGGTTCAAATACGTAGCTGTTCTAGCTGCAACTTTAGCTGCTGACTGGGATTCTCCCATGCTAAACATCTGATTGCTGCACTCCACTTTTGGCTGTGAAAACTGTCTGCTTGAACAAATTCAAAGCATTACTTTACGGCAGGAGTGTCAAACATGTGGTCTGCGGGCCGGATCAGGCCCTCGGAGGGCCCCAATCAGGCCTGCAAGAAACTGGCTGTTTCCTACTTCCATTTGCAGTTCTGCTGCTATGTTACAGCTTGCTTTACCATTCTCTCTCAATCGCACAGGAGAGATAGGCAAGGCTCTCCTGTGCGATTGAGAGAGTCTGGTAAAGAACTGGCTGAGGCTCCTCCCCCTCCTCCTCCCAGGGGAGGGAGGGAACAGCCAGAGCTTGCTTCCTGGCCAGACTCCAGAAGAAAAAGGAAGGAAGCCTTTCTTTCCTTCCACTGGCTGAGGCTCCTCCCTGAAGGGAGGGAGGGAGGGAATGAGGGAGAGTTTGCTTTGCTGGGCTGCCTCAATCGCACGGGAGAAATACCAAGCACCTTGTTCAAGGTATGGGCATTTGTGTGCCTTGCTACAGTGTGTGTGTGTTTGTTGGGCTTTTTATGCCAGAGCTCTCCTGGGTGCAACTGGGTTCCCTCCCCTATTTCACTGTATTCATACCCTCATGATCCAGTCTTTCTCAGTAAGAAAGCAATGTGAACTATTTTAGAGGAGGAATAACAACAAGCCAGTGAGGTGGATTAGACTGAGAATTTGTGTCCAGACCAAGTTCACCCCCTTTGTAAGAAGTTGTAGTTATTTCTCTGGGGAAGAGTATAATTTTGTAGACAAACACATGGTCCTCAGTCTGTTTTAGGATGCCTTCTCATGTTCTTGACCAGCATATGAAGCAACTTATGTACAAAAGGTTGCAATGTCCAGCCATTTCATGTTTTCCCGAGTCCTAGGCTAGCAACACTAAGCATGAAATTTTTGTAGTAAATAAATAAATAAATAAATGTTAATCAAAAGTACGTTTGCAGTTTACAGATCACCTGAACAGCATACTCAAGATTGCTACTGCATAGACATTTTGATGCGATAATTCAGAGCAAGAGGTGTCAGTTATCAGAGACTGTTAAATAGACAAAATATTGCAAGAGTGCTAGTGTTTTAAGCATGTTTTATTTAAACTTTAAAAAATCTTTGTGTTTGTCTGTGTCCTTGATAAAGTTTATTTCTCGACTACCTGGCATTACATTTTATGACACACATGGCCTGGCCCAACAAGGTCTCATTTATGTCAGATCCGGCCCTCATAACAAATTAGTTCGACACCCCTGCTTTATGGGATTCTGAGAAGTAGTGGATAAAGTATTGGACTGGGATGGGGGGAATCTGGATCCAAATCCAGGTCTTGAAATTGACTTGGTTATCTTTGGCTATTACAATTTCTTTACCTAGCCTACCTGACAGGGTTGTTACAAGAATAAAATGATGGAGAGAATTATGTATACCAGTATGACATAAATAAGAGAAAGAGCAGGGTATAATGGCGATGAAGATTTTAAAAAATGCTTCAGAAGACGGTGAAACCCATTCAGTTTCTTCTGTATTTTTCTAGTCTCCAGTACTATTCAATGGCTGTCGTTCAGGGGAGATTTTCAGCATTGACATTCGTCAGCGCAGCAATAAAGGGCAAGGCTGGAAAGCTGTCCGTCTCTTCCACGATTCAGCAATCACATCCGTTAACCTTCTGAAAACTGAGCAGTATCTCATGGCTGCAGATATGGCAGGACAGGTAGAGATAAGGCTTCTTTCAGAAAACATTTGTTATAATATTTGTAATATTGCTTTATCTGTACATGCCAAGTTTTTTCTTTTGACACAGAGTATTTGAGTGCTTTCTCCACTTGCAGATAAAACTGTGGGACCTGAGAAAACTAAGATGTGTGAAAGAGTATAGAGGCCATCACAATGAACATGCCATTCTCCCTTTGCATGTAAATGAGGAGGAAGGACTTCTTACAGCAGGTATGTATATTTACTTGTATGCATATGTATAGAATGTATAGAATTTACTTGTATGTATATAAAATTGTGTTGATCTGTGGATGAGCCCAAAGGGTGTGGAATTGAATGTTTTGCTCTTGTAACTAATAAGAATACAATGTGATATAGTCATTGAGCTGGATCCAAATTAAATTTTCCACTAACAGAATACTCTTGCATCAGCAGAATAGAACTTTCCCTGCACCTCATAGATCTCCCTGACCCTCAGGAATAGAATGAGAGACACGGTTTTGGCGACTTGCTGCCGGGTGCGCTCCATAGAGCTCCGATGAGAGCAGCCCATGATTGCGGCAAATGGGAGGGGTCCTGGACGATTCCAGGGCCCCCCAGAGCCCTCAGAGGGGGCTCGTAGCCTGGGGCATGAGGAGTGCCTCCTCCAAGGCGACGGCCAAGGAATTGAGGCTCCTCTTTGCCCCGATAGGTCCTGCCACTGCGAGATCAGTAATGGATACAAAGGTGCACGCCAGAGCGAGCAAGCAAGTGATCCAGCGCTCAGAGGCTTTCCCTACCTTTTGAAGTAACGCGTGGAATTAAGCGTGAGTCTGCATCTCCTTAAACTAGCCAAGCGCACAAGCGGACAACCGCCCCAAAGTCCTTAATTAAGGTAGCGGAGGGGGGAGGAGTTAATCCCACCCTGGGAAAAAAGTTACAGAGGGGCAGAGTGGGCAGAGTGGACGGCTCTGATTGGAAAGTGTTAATCCAGCCGAGTAGTGTGCGGAATAGTAAGAAGTGTACAATTTAAAAGACTCTCAGAGACTTAAAAGAACTCAGAGACTCTCAGAGACTTTTTCTCTCTGTGTAAACAATGTCGCATTGGGCTGATAAAATGGCGGCTAAAGCGAAACCTTCTACAGGAACTGCCAGCTCAGCGATTCCGACCTCAAGACCGGAAGCTACCACTGACTTCCTTGATATGTTAGCTGCAGCATTGCGCCCTCTGCTGGACCAGATGACTAATCTCAACAATAACTTTGATGCTCTCCAAAAGCAATGGAAAGAAACCAGCATAAGAACAGAAGAAACAGTTAAAATGTTGAAAAAAGTTGATGCTAAGACGAATGCGATAAATCAAAGACTGGAGGTTGTGGAAAAAGAGAGGACCTCTGATAAAGAACAGCCGCTACAACTACAAATGTAAAAGTCACCATATGTCCTGAGATTTCAGGGTATCCCAGAGCAAAAATGGGAGAACTTGAAAGAGATTTTAAGCGAAGCTTTGACTCCAGTGGTAGATCTTAAAGCGGAATTTTTACAAATTTTTACAAAATGATATGGATATGGTGTATCGAACCTATTCAGAATTTATTAAAAAAAATAAACTGCCCGGTGAAGTATTTGTGAAGTTCTCCAAGAGATCAACAAGAGATGTAATACTAAAAGCGACTAATAGGATAACCCTAAAAGTCAAAGGCAAAGAAGCGAGAGGTCTAAAAGACATTCCATTTGAGATAAGAAAGAGGAGGAAACAGTACAAAAACTTGACATCTTTTTTACAGAAAATCCAACCCCCTACAGATGGATAACTCCAGAAGGACTTATCTTCAACTACAAAAAGAAAAAAGAAAAGATTGACTCTGTTACAAAAGCAAAGGTATTTTTGGAGCGGCACCAAGCAACAGCGAAAGGAAAAGGAAAAGCAGAGGACAATAACGTAACAGAAGAAAATAGCGAACATGGATCGGGAAGCAGTGACAGCTCCTTGGGTAGCCCTTCAGAAGAAGACACTAAATCTGATAAAGGAGCAGCAGCACCACCTAAACTTCTTAAAGTCAGGTTGACTTATGATAAAAACAAGCACAGAGGAAAAAAATATGATAAATAGCTTAATTCTGAAAGCCTGATTTCTTTCTATTAATGCAGAATACTAGGATGCACGTACTTTGACTAATTATGCTTGTACTAGTTTGATTTTGAAAAAAATAATGTTTAACCTTCATTCCTTAAAATTTAATTATGGGGAAAATTTCAAGATAATCTATGTATAACTTCAGTAATATGATCCTTGCCTAGCTTTGTATTTTAGGCTAGACTTTCCCATTCCCCTACCCCTTGTAGTTTGTAGTGATAAAAGCAATAAAAAAGTTATTTAAAAAAAGGAATGGAATGGAATGAGAGGCAAATCAGGGATCTAAAGCAGGGAAGGGGAAATTGAAAGAAATTTTGACTTATGTTCTGAAGGACCTTGATCTTGTAATAAAGGGTTATTGCCACTTTAGATATAAAAATAATTTTAAAGATAGATGATATAAAGATAGAATTATTAAAGTTCCTTGACAATATTTTTTCTTTTCAGTGGGTCAGGATTGCTACACCAGAATATGGAGTCTTCAAGATGCTCATTTGCTCAGGACTATCCCTTCTCCATATCCATCTTCCAAGGACTCCATCCCAAGTGTGGTGTTCTCATCACAACTTGGAGGCACCCGAGGTGTTCCTGGTTTGCTCATGGCTGTCAGACAAGATCTCTATTATTTCTCTTACAAGACAGATGATCCATATTGCCTGCATACCAAAGACATGGATCATCCCACTGTCCTTGGTGACGATGAAAAAATGTGACGCCTTCCTGTCCTGAAACTGTTGTACTGGCATGGACTTTGAGCTTTTCATTTTCTTCTGCATTTCACCTCAAGAACTATAATTATGATGAACTGATCATTTAGATCATTGAGTTATTTGTGCTCTTTCCAAGCAGTTAATTTATTATCTCTTCGTATATATTGTCAATTGCAGATGTTTGAAACTCCCAGAATATTTCCATATACTCTGGTAGGCTTTGCGCACTGCCCATATTGCGTGCTTGCTCGTTTAATTATGTAGTGAGAAGCTATATAGAACTTACCTAGGCATCAAAACTAAACTAGGGGAGATAACATTTAAGGTAGTGATTTCACCATCAATGAAAACCTGTAAAAATGTTGTCTTCAATAAAGAATGTGGTAGACAGGAAAATTACCCTGAATTTTCCTGATGACTGGAAATGTGTGATTATAGCATAGCTTTCTAATTTCTTAGAATGCGGCACTTAGCTTGCTTGTCGAATTTGTTAGGAAGGCTTATTGCTTTTCACAGGCTGTATTGCAGAGTTTCTAAGGTGGTTCTGTTCATGCCCTCCTATGTCCAAGAGGTAGCCAAAAGAAGACTGAGGGAAATAAACATGTCAATATATATATTATTTACTGTTTATTTTTAGAAATTCTTGTTGGCCCTCATAGGACAGGGTAGAGGGCCTGTGGTGATCTTGTTGTCTTTTTCCTGCTGAAAAAGGAAAGTCTTTCCAAAGAAGAAATGGGTAGATTTAATTGTGTTTTGATTAGAAACAACAATTGAAATGCAGATGCTTTTGTTTTCAAATGTATTTTCGTTTAAAAACTTCATCCAATTAGAAGAGTTGGTTTTTATATCCTGCTTTTCTCTATCCCAAGGAGTCTCAAAGCAGCTTACAATTGCCTTCCCTTCCTCTCCCCATAACAATCTTCTCCCCACAACAGTCAGATGTGGGGCTGGAAGAGTTCTGAGAGAATTGTGAGTGGCCCAAGGTTACCCAGCAGGCTTCATGGGGAAGAATGGAATCAAACTTGGTTCTCCAGACGAGAGTCTACTACTCTTAACCACTATATCACATGGCTTAGTAAAAGCATTACTTCTTCGTTTTAAACAGCAGTTGCTCAAGATATCAGTTCTATCTTTTCACTCCTGCAGTATTTAAAAATTGCTTTAAAAAAATTGAAACAAGTTTAGATTCATTATGGGAAAAGCAATCAATTCAGGCAACACAGAATGTTTCCATTAGGGGTGTGCATTCAGCTATGTCTGAGCCGAAAAATATCTGAAAAATACCTTATTAGCAGTGTTCCCTCTAAGCTGAGTTAGTGTGAGCTAACTCAATATTTTAACCTCCGGGTCACACATTTTTGTCTTAGCTCAGGAAAGATGGCTACAGAGCAAACTAATTTATGCAGTAGCCAAATCGCTCTCATAACTGTAATGCCAATAGCTCACAAAGTAGAATTTTTGCTCACAAGACTCCACAGCTTAGAGGGAGCATTGCTTATCAGTATTTTCTGGCTATTCTTTCAGTTGGATATAGATTTGGGTATTTTTTTGGCTATCCAAAATGGCCAAACCCCCCAAATCCTGGAAAATATTTGGGATTTTTCAGGACCACCAGATAGCTGATGTTAAAGGGCGTTTAAAGGGATGCAATCCCTTTAAATGCCTTCTAGGTGAGCTCACAGCTTAGAGGAGGTGTTTAAAGGAACTGCAAGCCTTTTAAACACCTTTGAAGTTCATTTGTGGCTTGGAGAAGGCATTTAAGGGACCCGGTCCCTTCAAACAACTTTTTTCCCCCTCCATTGAAACCAATGAATGATGGGGGTACCTTTGGGGGCCCATAGAATTGGAGCCCTGGCAATCTTTTTGAAACCTGGGGGGCTTTTTGAGGAGAAAAATCCCGAATCCGAATACCATACAGGTATTGGATTTGGTAATATCAGGAAATACTGATATTTTTCGAGTTCAATATACCTCAACCTGAAAAATATCAATATTTTTGGCACACCACTAGTTTCCATACTATTTTACATATTCCCAGGCATTTTGGAAGCAGCATCTCAGCCCATTCTTTTTTCCAGCTTCCCTGTTGAAAACAAAGGACTATGTTGTTGAGAAGTTGACTTTGCAACCCTACAATATAACCATTTGCCTTTGTTCTGGCATTAGTGCATTACCTCATCTGAATCCTAGATCAAAGACATGTCTTTGTGTTCGGGAAAACTGCCCAAAGGACCTAAACCAGCCTCCTTTCTAAGACTCAGGAGCTGATGTAGCCAATGCCATGCAAAGCCGCATCACTGATGTCAGAGGCTACCGTTACCAACCAGAGACTTATAAAATATAGTCCCATCCCCATCACACATCTGGTAATGGATTTGAACTTCCATTACAAATAGGGGGTCTGGCCCCCCAAAAAATTGTCCTTTGTCCAAAAGGGATTAACACTATCAGGATGGTCCAATGTGGAATGGAAATGAATGAGTCATTCTAGTGTAAACCCCCAGGGGTCCAAGATCCCAGACAAGCTAGATGATGCTCTTGCTGTAGTAGGATTTTTGTCAAATCTGAGTTCTAGTATTTTAGGAGAGGGAGAAAAACTCTTCACTGTCCACTTTCTCCACTCCATGCATGATTGTGTAAATGTCCCCCCTGAGCCTCCTCCCCCAACTAAGAAGTCCCAGACTCTTTAGCCTTCCCTCATAGAAAAGGCACTCTACTCCATCATCTTGGTTGCCCTCTTCTATACAGTACTTCAAATAATGCTGTGCCATGGCTCTATACAAGGACATTACAATATTTGCTGTTTTATTTTTAATCCCTTTGCTAATAATTCCTGGCATGGATTTTGCCTTTTTTACCACTGCCACACGCTGAGTCAACATTTTCATTGAGCTGTCCACTGTAATCTTTTTCAGCCTTGGTCTCAGTTATAATCCCATATATTAAAAGTTAGGGGTTTTTGTTCCAACGTGCATCACCTTACACTTACCAGAACTGAATTTCATTGGCCACATTGGTATCCGCTCTCCCAATTTTGATACAATTGTCCTGTAGGTCTTCACAGTTTGGCTTAGTTTTCACTGTATGGAATAATTTGATATAATTTGTAGATGTATTAACTTCAGTTTGCCTATGGTGACCCTTGCAGGATTTTCAAGGCAAGAGATGAACACGGTCACCATAAATCAGCTGCAACTTGAGGGCACTTCTCTCTCTCTCTCTCTCTCTCACACACACACACACACACACACAGAGTAGTCAGAACTTCATCTCTAGTTACCTCAGTCTGACCAGTTATTTAGACACCTTTCAGCAAATGGCAGGTACAGTATGGGCACATGCCCCACAATTTCCACAGTGAAAATGAACACAATTCATAGGCACTGCACTTCTAAACAGGTCTACTCAGAATCCTATTCCGGTCTGTTCAGTGGAGCTTATTCCCAGGAAAGTGTTCTCAGGATAAAAGTTTCTCTGCCATTTCCCCATCTTCTTTTAAAAGTAATCCTTTTGTTCCTTTGTCCAATGATCCATCTGCCTCCCAAGACTAAAATTACCTGGTCAACACGCCTTGTTATTAAAGTAGGCACTGGTTGGGTCACAAACTGTTTCTCAAAGCAGCACCAACATCTTGGTTTGCCCTCAGGGACATCAGGAACCAGTAGCTGTCAGATCCCAGAGGAACCACTCTTCACACAATAGTCCTTAACAGGGGTTATTGGTAAGATTTGGACTCCTGGTAAGGTTAACACCTTTATCAGAACTAACAAACAATAGCACAGGGTCGGCAAGTGGGGAATGGGTTCCACCCCTCAGGCATACGTTACACACACCCAGACATACTACAGGTCATGAAAGACTATATGACCTATCTAGCCATGTCTTAAGGCTTATCTCTCCCAAGGCCACAGGCCCAGCTGGAACCTGTGAACGGTATGGGGGTGGCGTCGAGAAAATTACAAGCAGTGCCTCCACACAACTCCATGCACTCATTCTCACCCTCTCCTCCCCTAGGAATGTCAGGGAGGACTGATAAGGGTTAACAAGCGGAGCCGACAGATGTGCAAAGCAGGCGGGTTACAAAAGCGAAAATAAGCATTAGCAACACAGGGCAGCGATACATAATCATTGACCATGGCAGGGGTCCGAACCTGACAGTAGCACCACTTCTAGCCTCTCCTGTAATCCAGTCTGCAAGCTGTCCAGATGTACCCTTGTCCATACTTATCTGATTTGATTCTTAGATTTATTGGACCTTGTTAACTAAATTTAATCTCCTTTATAAGATGAGATCATGGCACCAGCCAGTGCCATTTGAAGAACTGCTTGCTAAAAACATTAAAACTTCTCAAATCCCTTTTGCTCACTTTGTCAAATTTATTATTATTGCCAGAACCTGTGCTCCTTTCTGTAGCACCTTGTTTGGGCAAACCTTCCCGTTTTTGGAGGAAGCTGCTGCTTCTTTTTTTGCCTTTTATGGCTTCCTTGATTTGGGTTATTAACTACCCAGACATCTTTTTAGACTCCAGACCTTTCATGACTTGAGATATATATTGCATACAGACCTCAGCTAGTGTAGTTTTACATTGTTTCCAGGCATCCTGGAAAGAGTTGTCTCTCTTAATTCTGTTTTTTAACTTCCTTCTGACTTGTCCCATCATGTTTGCAAAGTTTCCTCTTTTGGAATTAAAAGTGATTTTGGAGGCATCTTTCCAGTATCATGAATGTCAAATCTAATGGCATTGTGGTCACTGCTCCCAATCAGTGCAATATCATCAGGTCCCGGATCCAGAGTTGCTATGCCTCTGCTTGGCTCCGTGATCAGTTGCTCCAGTGTACCTCACTTCCCTCCCTAAGGATTCCCACCTCTCTTGACCCTTAGGTTTCCTCATGGCTCTCCTTACTGTCCTACACTCATTCTCAGGCTTTGACCCACTCGCAGTATTCTCCCAAGAGGTAACACCACCATCCTTGTGGGATGGGTCATCCTGAACCAAGCACTCCAGCTCCCCTATCTTGGCCCGGAGGCTGCCAGCTCTTGCCGGCTTTCCCCCAGGGATTAGTTTAAAAGTGGCTGTGCCACCTTTTTGATATTAAGCCCTAGCGGCCTGATTCCCTTTTGGTTCAAGTAAAGGCCATCTTTTGTTCAGGTTCAGCTTGTCCCAGAAAGTTCCCTAGTGTCTTTCCTCCAAGCACCACTGTCTCATCCACACACTGAAACCCCTACTCTGTGCCTGTCTAGCTGGCCCTGCATGTGGAACCAAAAGCGATACTGAAAAATCTTACCTTGCAGGTCCTGGCAATTAACCTTCTGCCTAGTAACCTATTTTTTTTCTTAAGGACCACACAGCCAATGTAGACATTTCTATCTCAAGGGGAATGAAGTTGTGGGTTCTTAGGATAGCACAAAAGAATCAGACAAGTCAAAGACACAGAAGCTTACAAGTGAAGTTTTTATACAAGGAATGTCAGGGATGGTTTCTGTATGTGCAATAACATGGTAGAATAGCTACATGCATGGAGAACACACAGCATGGACTACAAACCGGTTCCAATTGTATTTCCACCATAGAGTCAAAAATAAACACTTCAAAGTGCAGTACCTAGGTCGAAAAAAAATCTCTACAAGACTTTTAATCCCATATCTATTCCTTGAAAAAAATTGTCAGCTTCTAGTTACAAAATACATATTCCTCGCTGTGGAGATTAGATAGCAGGAATTTACTACTACATAATCCAGTTCTGTTTTGGCATGCAAGCCGAAAACTGCCACTTCTTTCCACAGGCAGAAAAAAGATTAGTTACATTGAAATCAGTACACTTGTTCAGAAGGGACAGTCCTTTATATCACTTAATTTAATAGTACAGTCCTAAAATAGGGTTTCAGTAATCAAGGTATACAATGATAAATTCTATAAGTGGGAGAAAGAGTGCCAGGATATCATGCCAAACTCCAGCAATGATGAGTGAAGACAGATCTCCACCAGGGGAATGTGCCACATTCATAGGTACTAACAGGAGAAAAGGCTTTGTTCTTCAGTCTGATGGTATCTTGTTTGTTATTGCAGAAGCCAATATCCACAGAAAAGTCCAATGTTACAGTTTCACTCAGTAGTTTGATCATTCCCTCAAAGTGGTTCAATGCAGGGCTTGTTGAAAAGAATTCTGTCCCAGTATCACCCACTCTTAAACTCAGAAGAACATTGCTGTTTTCCAGATTGGTTTGATTCACACAGATTCCTTTAATAATATATACTTAGGACTGTTTAAAGAAAACTAGTGTCTAAGATTGCTAAGCAAACACTAAACCGCAGGGTATGGGAGCTCACCCGATACTTACCTTTGCTGTTAAGCTTGGAGAGTCAATAGAGAAATGAGAGTCTACCAAACATATAGGAATATGGGCATGAAGTATAAGGTCTTATCGCCCCAAAGTACATCTGAACTAAGCTATTGCTACACCAGCTTTAGGTTTTGCGACACATCAGTCGATGTTGCTTCGTTTCCCACTAAGTTTAGTACAGTGTCCTTCTAAGACCTTAAAAACTATAATCTGTTCTGCAGCTGCACAGACTTTAAACAACATCTGCGTTAAATAACTTCAAAGAAAGAGAGCAAGAGCAAGAGAGAGCAATCCCCTTCGTTCCTCTGGCTGCTCTGAATGGTAAGGGCCTACAAATGGAAAATTATTGTTCTACACTAGGACCTACAGTGCTGACTGCATTTGCTGCATTCAGCAACACACAAATTTGAAATGGTGGTTTCATATGGCACTTAATATAGTGATGGGTTCCCTATTTAAAAAAAAAAAATTCTATGGGCAAATTCCTACTATATAGCTATTTAGAAATAAGCCCCCTTCAGCAAAAATTCCACAATTTTCCTTTATTTTCAGCCTAATTAATTTCTTTCTCCTCTTTGTGACTGGCCAGTTTTCTTGAAATAGTCAATCATTAGTTAGTCCCTCCTTGGGAAGGAGAGGGATTTAAATACTACTTTTCTCTTTGTAGCCAGCCATCATTGCTTATAATATTTGTTTTATCTTCAGCATAAATTGCACTGTTAAAACAATAAAAATACAAAAAAAAAATAGTAATGACTTTGACTGACTACAAAGTGAAAAGTATTTGTCCATGGTTTTGTCTGGACTGTCTGTTAAAACAAAACAAAAAAGGCAATTCCAGCTAGATGGAGCCATCCAAAAACAGGCTGGAGTAAAATAAGTATGGCTGATGAAATTGCAAGGGGCAAGGCCTGGGACTCCCTATTCAAAAGCAGGGACCACCTCACTCTTCACAATATGAACTGTGAGCCACACAATGCTTCACACAAAGAATTTCAAAGGCACTCAAGAGGCTATGTGTTTGACCCATTACACTTCATAAAATAGTTCCATTCACCTTTCTTCATTTTACTGTAAATAATCAATGCTTCATCAGCCAGCTGCATTCTCAGCATACTAAATTATATAATAGATATAGAGATACATACTTTTAACTGGTATATAATACACTGAGTTTGGGATTCCTCGTTTTACTGCAAGCTTCTCCACACTCACTCACCTTTAACTTTCAATATCAGTTTGAAAACAAGCCGTGTTGGACCTGTTCAATTGAGCTATTCAGCAATCTTATTGAAAACAGCACATGAAAAGAGGCCAGAGTTCAGCAGCATGCACTCTGACTGTAGAAGGCTAAAAAAATGGTTCTTTTGTTGTTGTCGTTTTGTTTTTCTAACCCTGAGAAGCTAAGGTGTTATGGAGGACCCAGAGAGGAAGCTGGGGTTAAAGGTCACCAGGCTTTTTATTGCAATTAAAGCAGACTCTGACAGGATGATCCCAGCCACGGGAGGGGACTGCTCTGCGCTCATGGGAGCACTCGTCACAGAAACCCTGGCCACAGGCACGGCAGTGGTGTCTGGAGAGCTTGATGTTGAATTCCTTCCGGCAGTTGTGGCAGTATAAGATTTCATGGTCAGGCACCCAGTAAGCAGGTCTGGCAGCATCCTTCACGAGACCTGCAAAGGGTTATAGAATTTCACCATGTTCTGACCATAGAAAAGAACGAGGACTACAAAACCCATCTCTGCCTTTTCCAATAACCTAATGAAGAGAAGGATTAAAATCAGGCCTATAGGAAGGCTCACATAAGTCTCACTATGTGCTTTTGTAAAGGATTGATGAATGAATTGACATTATGCGTAAGCGTCCCATATGTCCACTTTAGGATGCAACCCAAAGCATAGGCACTGGACTCAGGAACCAAAAAGATATAACGTGAGGCTTCTCATATGAGCACTGACCCTTCCGATATGAGGGAAGGCAGCACTCATGAAGATTTCCAACATCTGACCTCTCAACAGGCCAGGTCCTGTATTGTTTGATCACACCGGAAACCCCACAGACCTCTACAAGGAAGTGCACAAGAGACCAACATCCTACCCCCATCCCAATCAGAACAATAAAGGAGCTCTATTTCTGGCCTATTGGAAAAACTGAGTTTTCTACAAATCTTTACTTTCAGGAACTATAAACTATGGTGAGGATCTAGGCAGACTAGTCTTTGTCTTTTTCTTTGATTTCATGCAGAGTAAGAACAATAGTACCGCCCTGCAAATTGTTTTTGTTATAGGTGGAACATCTCAAACTGTTGCTGTAACCATCGTCTACCTAATACACAGCTGTGTGGGAGATGCTTGCCAATGGTGCTCATCCCACATGGCTGCAATACCTACATGTTCTACTACCATGTTGTCAAATCAGTTTACATGAGTCCGTCTCACCCTACTGGCACCTTGCTTCCCAGAGAGTTACTGATTGATACAAAAAGTCGATTTGACTGACCCCACCCAAATGGATGAGCATTCACAGGACATATTACAGTCGTATCTGCATGGGAAAGAAGTTCCCAAGCACCTGTGTCTAAAGGGGATCAGCATTTAAGAACTACTATGCACGTGAGATGCACATCTAAGACAAACTGAGCCGCCAACTGCAACTATGAAGAAAAATCACACCACTCACAGAACTCTGACTGGAATATTCCCTTACCTCACCAAATCCTACCTCTCTAAAAACCTGATTCTGCATCTACCTTTTGAATAGAGCAAACAACACTTACCTAACGGGATGTCGATGGCAGTCACAACAGCCCCAAGAGTGTTCTGCACAGCCTCACCAACTTTCCTGGCTATCACTGTCCCCCCTTCCTCATCTGTTGGAGCCTCGGGCACATCTGTGTGACAGAAACTGAGGTTCAGAACCAAAAGGCACAAGTTCAGCCGGCCTACTTCAAAGTATAGAAGGAAACTGATGCCCAAAAACAAAAGTGCTAGTCACCAGCAGCCAGTGCTTAATATTATAGGGGAATAATGATGTCTAAATGCGTAACTATAAAGTCACTGCCCTGTTCAAGTAGACACTTCATCAGCTGAAAAACCTCCCTGGGGTTGCTTTCATATAAACATTTTTCTCTGCTTTTTATGTTGTTTGTTTTTTGGAGTTTCCACACTATGTCCTCCTCTAATCGTCCACTTTCCAGGTTTCTGCCAACCTGGTCATATTCTTGCTCAAACCTGCTTTATTTTTCACGAAGAACCCAGGCCAAATGCATTGGCATCTGTCTGGATGGGGAGGTTTACATTTTCAGAGGCCCCATCCACATTTAAAATGCACTTTTACCTTCCTTTTCAGCCCTTAGAAATTTTCCATGCTTCTCAACTGTAGCCAGGTAGACAAGGCATATATCTAGGTTGGTATCTTCCCAGCAGTTTAATAAATATACACCTTGGATCTAAACCAAACTGCATGAATAGCAGATTGGTTATCCTGAGGTATCTGCTTAGATATCTGGGTTTGTACACAAATGTGTGAGAGAACAGAGGCTAAAGTGAGCCAAATATACAGAGGAGAATCCAGCAAAATTAGGAGCTCTGTTTCATCTCAGAATAAGGAACTGTGTAAATAACAATTAACCCATTAATATAGGAAAAGGAAAGATGACTGCAGTATTCACTGTAAGATCACAGTAATCCTCAGACAAATCAACTAAAGTATGTGGTTAGTACCCTTGAGATTTCTTGCACATTATGTTTGTGGATTCAGGATACCAACTCTGGATCAACACTGTAATCTATTTTAAAAACAAACCTTTATGATTTTCTCCTTCATCTTGATTCATATTCTCTGACACCTGCTTTGAAATGCCATGTTATTTAACTAGAACAACTTGCTGCTACAGTAAGAGCATCTGTAAATAATGGAGCAACTCAAGTACCAGAATGATGAGAAGTCATAAATGTTCTTCCTTAGCAGAAGGCATACACAATGTATATTATTCTGTAGGACCATTAAACATGAATGGTATGTTGTCTTACAACTGTTGCATAAATACATTTACTCTGGAATAAACTGGAGGAGATTAAGAAATCAGGAATCTGGCTGAATTCAATTTATATGTTGAGTAGTTTCCTCTGAGAAAGAATATTTATATTCTAATACATCGAGAAATTTGGAAACCAGGAAGAGCCGGGTTCTTCCTTGCAGCCCAGCATTGTGCTGCTTTATTATCCTGCTGTGCACTGCGCCCCTTTTTTGTGATTGCAGCACTTAGAGGACCAGGTTACAGTTTGTTCTCAAATGGGAGATGGCAATAGCAATCATTAAAAGACTCAGCATTACCCTAACTGAAAGCTGTAGGATAATATGGACATAACTGGATTACCTAATTGAACACCCCTGCTGTCATGGCAGTTGTCACATACTCGCACAGGTGTGGGTCCCCAGCCTCGCTCTGGGACAGGGCGGGTCTTGGATGAGCAACCATCGCAGAAACCTTCACCACATGACCGACAGTGGTGTTTAGTGTCATTATCTTTAAATGATATACCACATTTTTTGCAGTTCTGAAAAACAAAACAAAAAGAACCTGTTGGGTTATCTTCTTGTTTGGCTTATACGAGAAAACAAAGGAAGGAGATGGGGTATTTTCAGACTCACAACTGACCGATCTAAATAGGGACACTATGATTTTTGTAGAACCACTGTGGACAAACATCCCTCCCTAAAAGGCCAATGGTCCTGTTCTGAAAATATCAATAATTCAGGGGGATGTACACACATGTACACACTGCATTTATTGCAGTCCCAGATGTTACCTCTTTGGACACAAATGCCATAAGGCTTAGCATGAGCAGCTATTCTGTAAGGGGCCACAGTGCAGCTGCTGGCTCTGGGCTGAGCAATCAAGTCACACTGCACATGGCAGGGGCCTGCACATTTTGCAATTCAGCAAGCTGAATGCAGCCATGTGTGGTGACTCACCTGAGATTCAATAAACCTCCTGGTTTTAGTGTCTGCCTTGGGGGCTGAAAACCAGGAGATGGTCAAGCGCTGACATGGTTGGTGGGATGTTCTACAGGCCTGATACATTGCAGCCACAAATGCATTGTATGACAGAAGTTCCACCACCAATTCAATATAGTGCCCTTTCAGCCAGATGCCATAATGCAACTCATTCCATTTTTGTGCAGATAACTTTAAAATCAAAATACAGTAGCAGGAATAAAAATTTACACCTGCAGCTTTTCTAGCTGGTATGGCTGAGGCCATAATTGTGTCACCTTAGTGTTGCCAACCTACCCAGTTTCTAGCTCACTAAACCTGAACAGGAAGAGACAGATTCACCATCACTGTCAACATGTGGAATCAGAGCCCAAGGGTTCAGATTGCCTATATACACCAGTGCTGGATTATGGAAGCTAGTACTTCTAGCAAGTAGGTAACCAGTCACTGGAAAGAAGTAGACAACTCACTTAAAATATAGAAACAACACACCAAAGAAAGGAGGTCTAGACAGAGTATTTCATGCTGAAGCCTCACGCTTTGAGTGCAACAAAAGTGTACTATAGTGGTTTCCAAAGAGATAGCAGTGGCTTATCATCTAACATGAGCCTTGTAATTAAGCAGGGCAATATTGGTCACCCATCATCTGATTCACCAGTGTGAGATTCCACAATATTTTCTCCTCCATACACCCCGACATACTGTCTCTCCCTAGTTCCAGAATTCAAGAGGGAACTAGAACTGTCCCAATCCCCTTTCTCCAGAGAAACAGAAATGGTCACTGTTCCCTTGCAGAGGTAAAGGTTTTACACCTGGGAACAGGAAAGAGAAACCAGACCACCAGGTAACCTCAGAAGCATTAAGAACATAAGAAGAGTCCTGCTGCATCAGACCAGTGGTCCATCTAGTCCAGCATCCTCTCTCACACAGTGGCTGTGACAGACTGTTAAGGGTTAATGCCTAACAGAGGCTGAGAACCTTTGAGTGACAGGCTGTTTGAACGGAATTTTGTTGAGAGAATCAGTTAAGAAATGACAGTTGGGAACTGACAATTGAAGAAGAGACAGTTTTTTAATTTTTTTATTTATCTTTGGATTTATTTCCCGCCCTACCCCGAAGGCTCAGGGTGGCACTGACTATGGACTGGGAAGGAAGCTAAGAGAGTGAGTAGATCGAGGAGGATCCTCATTCAAACAAAAACAAAAAAGGGAAATAGCTTCTAGTAATGAG